GTGTATAAATTGGTCGACCTTCTAATAAATCAAGCAATCTTATTGTATCGTCATCGCCGCCAGTCACCAAGAAATTTCCACTTGGGTGAAATGCAACATCATTCTCCGGCGACGAATGCACTGTATTAGCTCGCCTTCAGCTATGTTAAATATCTTAACGCCGTTACAACCTAATGCTAAAGCTACCAGATTACCGTCTGGATGCCATGCCAGCTGTCGTCCCATACCTCTTCCCACGGTGAACGTTCGCACACATTCGCCTGAAAATGTATCGCAAATTCTTAACTTGTCAGCGCCGAACGATGAAATTAACTTACCATTAGGGCTGAATTTTGCTGCGCGCACCCATTTGTGTGTCCAGTGAAAGATGTGTATTTTGAATCAGTATTTTGATGGCTGTTCGCCATTTTTCTAGTCTGCAAACGAATAAGCTGACGAAGATGCACACAAATTCAAGCACATTGTTGCATTCCACCGTACTTTTTTAAAGCTTTAAAATCTTAAAACATATGTGAAAAACTTTTATAATCTGAATATTTCTAATGTCGCAATCAAAACGAAATTTTGTAAATAGCATTTTTAAAAAGCAATCATTTAATATTTTTCAAGTTTTTGGGCATATATGTTACCATTTGAACAACAAATACTACCAAGTTTTAAGAGACTATTTAATACAACTCAGGTCAAAAAAGAGCAGTTTAGGCCAAAATAAGCAACTCTAAAAAACAGATGATCGCAGCTGTGGCCCAGGATGACGTCTATTGCTAAGATATCTCACTTGTATTTCTACACAATGTCTTTGAGATTGATTCAATTCATATCGAAAAAATTTTTTTTTGTGTGTGAATAAACAAAAGCAGACATTTTATGCATTTCAATAAAAAAAATCCAAATTTGATTCTATTTGCATATACTCACCCTTTTTTATTACCAATACACTCACACCTGGCAAATTGCCTATCACCAATTTTTCTTTCAAGACAAGAGGTAATTTCTTGTTAATTTCAACAGCTAATCGGTCATAGCTTTGGAAAGTGAGTTTTTGTTTGCAGAAAATTGTCTGTTTAATAAAATAAGGAAAAAATAAAGAAATCTTATACGTGTAAGCAAAGTGAAAGCAGTGTTTTGAACGTGTAAACTTAAATTAAGCAAACAAATTTTAATGTTCAGTTTGATTGTATTTTCAAAACAATTTTGCCTACCAAAAGTTTCGTCAAACCAACCAAGCTACCAACGGAGAATGAAGCTACCAATTTTGGTCCAATTGGACCAAAACGGCAACGCTGATAGTAATACCGGTCTTGGGTTAAGGCTATGAGCCGATGTTTTGCCTTGCGAAGGTCATCATGTGTTAGGGAATAGGACGGATGCCTTTTACCCGATCCTTTAGGTTTCTAATAAATTTGAAGGCGAATGCCATAACCTTTAGAGCGCGCGCATGGCAAGAGAATCGACCTATCAGATCGAGTATCTGCGCAGTCCGATTCGAGACAAATGTTTTCCAAGTATAAGGGGGCTTTTCTAGCCATGCAAGGACGATTTCGGAATCAGACCACATTGTCAGTTTTGGCTTAGAGAGATCGAGGTGAGACTGGACAACTGCGACTAATTTGGCGAGGAGGAGTTCAAGCCGCGGTAAGCTTGTGGTTCTAAGAGGTGCTACTTTGCCTTTGGAGACCAACAGATGAGAAGAAGTGTTGGTGCCACTTGTCATGCGAACGTTAATGTTGGCGCAGTATGCCTTCTCAGACGCGTCGCAGAAGCCGTGTAATTCGACCTGCCTGTCGGGGATATAGTCGACCCATCGGGGTATTTGGATTCTAGAAATTTCTGGGAGGTTTTTTGCAAATTGCATCCACTTTATCAAACGGAGAGGTTTAACTTGCTCATCCCACTGAGTTCCGTCTAACCAGAGCTCTTGGAGGAGAATTTTGGCTTGAATCATGATCGGCGTAAGCCACCCTGCCGGGTCAAAACGTTTTGCGACCGAAGAGAGAATTTGTCGCTTAGTGCTTGCGGCTATCGCTGCAGTGGAATCAATGGTGTACGAAAAGGTGTCAGTTAGGACGTTCCATTGAATACCGAGCGTTTTTGTGGAACTTGCTTTTTCGAATTCTAGGAAATTATTATCAAGCAAGTCTTCCTTAGCAATGTTTTTCAAAACTTCATGGTGGTTAGCCATGATTTTCTTTAATGCGAAGCCTGCCGATTTGAGAGCTTGGATGATTTGGGATAGGGATTCTTCGGCTGAGGGGAGGTCATGACTGCCGGAAAGAATGTCATCCACATAAGTTTCATTTCTTAATATGGGGGCCGCAAGGGGGTGTGTGGTTTTCACGTCTTCTGCAAGCTGGTGAAGTGTTCGTATGGCGAGATAAGGTGCGCAATTCAAACCAAACGTAACAGTTTTTAACTTGTAGTCCTGTATTTCACTATTGGCGGACGGGCGAAAAAGAATTCTTTGGTAACTTTGGTCGTCTTTGTGGAGTAGTATCTGCCGGTACATTTTCTCAACATCGCCGTTAAAGACGAATAACATCGCCGTATAAGGCGATATCGTCGGGGAAGCTTGGCTTAAAGGGTAGCCGGACTATATACCCTTAGGTCAATCTCGCACCTCAGCCCTCCAGCAATGTCTGAGTATGGAAAGAAATCTTCTAAGAAAAGGTGATCTAAAAACCCTGTACGATGACGTATAAAGAGAATATCTAGTTCTCAACCATATGGAAGAAACGGCTTCTAAGGAATTATCTTCCCACGGCAAATATTGGTCGTTCTATCTCCCCCGCCATGCCGTTATAAAACCGGAAAAAAGAACGACCAAAGTCCGAGTCGTCTTCAACGCCTCCAAAAAGTCGGGGTCCGGTTACTCTTTGAACGATGTTCTTTACACCGGACCAACTCTCCAGCCCGACTTAATGTTGATGATCCTCAAGTGGCGTACGTACCGATTCGTCTTTAACGGCGATGTTGAGAAAATGTACCGGCAGACACTACTCCACAAAGACGACCAAAGTTACCAAAGAATTCTTTTTCGCCCGTCCGCCAATAGTGAAATACAGGACTACAAGTTAAAAACTGTTACGTTTGGTGGACTGTATATCCATAGGTCGCTGGTTCATATCCGGCTCGAAGGACCAATGAACAGCGCAGGGGGCTGTTTATGGTGCAGTTGGCGGCAGCGGGGGCGAATGTGACTGGAGCAGGTCTCCCAAGGGTGGCAACGGATTTGGACGGTGGCGATGGCGGCTGCGAAGTAGGCGGCTGGAAGTGGAGGATGGTCACTGCAGAACGATGGCCAGCGAAGAAGTTTCGCCAGATTGGTTTGCTGGGGCTTTACGCGAGCGAAAAGTAGTGTAAGACGCCTGGATTTTACCGGCGATTGGTAATCAAATCGCGGATCACTTTACCGGGGAGTATATTTGTCACTTAGTAATGAAAAAGCGTATTTCAACTTCGGTGTCGCGTAGGACTTTAGGTTTATTTAAAAATTCACTCAAAATTCACGCTTTTGGTTAGGTTTTACAAAATGTAGAAAATTCGCAACCGCACGAAGTGGATTTTTGCTATGTAATAATAATGTTCGGCTAAGAAAATATGTACATTTACATATAGGTGTCACAAAATCCAGCTTGTTGCAAGGTGCTCGCGAGAGCGTTGCCAACACCTTCAAACATTGATTGGTGGTGTTCACGCTGTACATTGGGTGTTCACCCAAGAAAGAGTATTTACATGGTAATTTATGTTAATACAACAAATTCAATGAAAATAAAATAAGTAATTGAGATACAATAGATTGGGATAAAATTCAAGTATACAATTCAACAATACAATAGTTAATCTGCTACATCTACAATTAAATCCAATGTGTGATATGTAGAGTATCTGGTTCTCCTTTCCACAAATACTTATGTATATAAATTCAAACTTTTCGTTTTATAATCTAAATTTATATTTGCTGTATAACTCATTACATTTTGTATTAAACTCAAATTTTCGCTTTATAATCTAAATTTATATTTGCTGTATAATTCAATAAACCTTTTATACTACATGAATTAATTTTAATGTTAAGCCATACACATAGCTTTCTAGGAAAGAGAGATGTTGTAAGATTACTGTGGTGTAAACACAACGTTAGCATTAACCTTTACTAATAATCGATTACTTTGTACTATTACTGAACTTTGTAAAACACATCCCTATATTGAAGATATAAAATAAAGGTTCTTTCCAAAAGTAAGCTTGATAGGGCATTCGCACGCGGCGATTTTTCAGGCCACTTTTAGTTGGAAGCAAAAATCGCCTCGTCCGAACGGCCTTTCAACTAATCGCTTTCAACAAAGTTGGTCGCCAGCCAACTTTGAGCTCGTTCAACTTTTTTTCCTTGCAACCCTGTGTTTGTTTACATTCTGTATCAGTGTTGGGATATGAAATTGTTCCTTCAGTACGAAATCTATACAAAAAATTTACTTTTCGGCATAAATTGTATACACTTTTTAATTCGCTCATATATTTTCTTAGTACATTCCCTTCAAGACCAATGATTTTATGGTATTCATGAGAAAGTTTTATTGTTTATGTACATACGTTTACGTAGTTTACACTTTTGCAAATTGATTCCACGTGCACATGTATTGCATTTAACGCAAATATGTATGCACACATTTTCAGGTATACATCTTAACAAAAAGCATATTTAAGTTATTATTAATGGATAAAAGATACATTTTCTTTGGATTCAGTACTAAAATTTGACATTTTAATAGAATTTCAAGTGCTTATCAAAACTTTACGAGATGGTTTGACCATTTATCTTAATATTATTCAATTTTAATTATTTTTTGTAAAAATACGCTTTATATTTTAAGAAAAGCCGTACAAATCCAAGGTTCAAACTTTGTGCAACATTAAAAAAACCAACACTCTTTCGTAAAAATTTCGATCTATTTAATTCGA